TTTCCACTTCACACAACACCCATTAGTGCAACCTGTAATTCCACACACAACATATCACATGTAAGGTATTCGAAGTGATAAGATCAGCCTCCAAACACAGCCTCTGACAAGGTGAACAGTAAGGCATCTGAACTTAAAGTGGATTTTCTGTTGGAGGACAGAAATGGACCCTTTGTCTCCTTCCTGGTCTCCTAATGAATTGGTTTTAGCCTGTTTTGGAGCACATTATCCTTCCCTCTCCTCCTAATTTTCCAATTTGCTGTGTCATTTATACCTAATTGAGGACTGCACTGGGCTGTATTACTCTCACAAATAGGGTGATATAGTTTATTGAAGGTCTGCTTTATACAGAGGGAATGGTAAACCAAACATCAATTGTAGACCATACAGAAGATGGGGATTTTTCCCAGAGGCTGGGGAGCATTGCAAAGAGGCTTTAATTATTTCTCAAAGGCAATTCTGGCCATTGCTCCACCGCTCATTTTATGGTCACTTTCCTTTTCTTTCTTTGAAGGAGGTAATGAATGGGGTGAGAATTCACTTTATTTTATCTCTGCTCTGTCGCCCTTCCTGATATTTGCATCTCATATTCGTCTAACCAAATAAGAAAAGCTTGTTTTCAACCTGCCCAGGCCGGGTCCAGCATAGGAATGAATGGCAGCACAAAGCTCAGATGAGTGCCTCTTCTATTAGTGCTTTCCACATGAAAAGCCTCTGTTTGCAAAGGCAAAGAAAAGTGTAAGTTTGTGCCCTTGACTCTCACTGTTCATCGCAGAAAATGGCTTACAAAGGAAGTTATATTTATATAATAAGAAACGCTGCATGTTGTTGCTCGGGCTAGATTATAAAATACCGGCCTCAATGTGAAATTAACTTGAAGAAAACATTAAATAAGAATTGCTGTTAAACTCCTGATTTGAGTTGTGTGTAAAAGTTTCAACCTTGAAATGTCGACCCTGCAAAGTGCTTTTGATCCTTTAACAGAAGAACCCTCATTCTTTCATTCAACGACAGCATTTGTGACTCAGAGAAATTGAAAAATATACACTTATTTTATCTACCATTTCAGTTTAAAAAAAAGAACATGAAAACATGCTACTGAAAATGCTGAAAAACTATAAAATAAAGATACAATTTCTTCTAAATATTGTACAAGTCAACAGCAGACAGGTCAGTTCTCCTTCTTAACAACAGCAGCAGACAGAAATATAATTGCCATCAGTAGCCGATTCCCTCTGTTACCCTTTAACTTACAGTTCAACTATTTTCAGTGCTTACACTTCAACTGACATTTCTTACATACAGTGTACTGGCTGACACTTTACAGTTGACATACCTCAACTTCTAGCACTGCGGTTGAAATCAACTGACGTTTCATCTGACGTTTTAACCTGTTTACAGTGTTAAAATGTAGTGTAGTTTGCATCTATAATTTTCAGCATGAGCGAAAGTATTTTCTTTTTGGTTGGTTTTCCCATGAATACACCATCTGCACAAACCTCACACTTACACAAATCAAGATATACACCTGATCCAAAAATGGAAGTACTTTCTTTGACAGAACAGGTTTAATGTCTAACTTCTTTTGGTACCCAGTGCAAACAACTTCTGTTGTGTCTCTCACTGATAAATGTCTGAATTTCAGAGCCACCGAGGGTCCTCTCAAGCAAAGGTTTGTCTCTGTGCAATCAGCAAATGGCATTAACCTCCTGCCTCTCCTCGGAGCAGCCCGTTATTTTCAGGGTCTAATTTCCACAGGAATTTTCTGGCAGCAGATGTTCCTCTCCACCCCGCCCATCATCAGGGGTGCCTGAGCGACAGAGGGGCCGCCCATCAAAACGCCATCAGGACCCTGCTGGCCACCAGACGAACACATGCCCAGAATGCATCATGTGGGGGCCGTTCAGTCCCATTTAACTCTACCTCCCGTCTGCCACTTCACTTTACCGTCAGCTTGCGTCCTCCTAACTCTCCATCACCGTTGCAGACAGAACAAAGCATTCGGTGACATTTATTTTTTTTGGTTTGTGCTGACAAACCAACTTAGCAAAAGATGAGGCTCGACCCCTGGCTGGCTCAGTATGAATTGAATGAGAGACAGTGGCAGACGGAGCTGTGGGCACGTGAATAAATCGATTAGTGGGGCACTTGACGGATGGGATTTATAGGAGGCCTCGACGCACCAGAGAATTAATTTCTCTAGGAGAACACGTCTCTGCCAGGTTCATTCGTCTTGGCAGGAAATTTGGCAGTTTCCCCAGGTCTGGGGGCTCAATTAACCAACGGCTCCAGCAGTTTGGGAAGGGAACAGCTTCGTTGAGGAATACGCCACATTCATGCGTCAGACACGTGTGTTAATGATAACAGATTTTGAGAATACAAAATTAGATAATATGAGGGAGGGTGAGATTAGCTGGTGAAAGGGTTAGGGGCTAAGAGATGGAACTGGTGGGGGGTGGGGCTTATTGTGGAACAATGGGACAAAGGGATAGGTTAAGAAAAGGTTCATAGAACGATAAGGAAGCTACGGTAAGACTGTTCGCACATAATTTTTGTGACTGCTAGATATATAAATAACCTAAATTGGCTACTTTTTTTGGAGGGCAGTTGTAGCATTTTTATATTACCAATATCAGTTATTGGTAATAAGAATTATTAGATTTTATTTAAATGTAACCATCACTGACGATGGCTTTGCAGCTGTTTTGCCAGTGACACTTCTGCAGTTCATTTACCAGCTGGGAGATATCAAAGCTGTCAGATTATCACAATTTCTTCAAATTGGAATTACAATTAGGCCAATGTTAACTGTAGTCACTGCAAATATAGTGGAGCCAGGGGGAGCTTGGCCATTTATTTCTATTTTTCTGCATCTTTATCATCATGGATCATGCATAAAAATAGGTTATTATTGGTGTATGTCATTAACTGATTATCATATATCAGCTAATGACATACAAAAAAAAGGGGTGCTCCCCGAAAGCTATGGTATAGTTTGCACACTGACTCACTGTAGTAGCTTGTAGTTGCGATTTGACCTATTACGTGAACATTAGCAAACACTTTCACATCCACCAAGCATCGAGACAGTGGAGGATGAGCACTGACTCATGTTTCTGCCCACCCAATCAATGTAAGTGCAATGTTCACTCTACTTTTAGCTCTCTTCTGATCTTCAACTCAACTCAAAATTTCCAGCTCATATAGCAGCTAAATGCTACACTATGTTCACCTGCTCATCACCAACTTTGCCGTTAAGTGCTTGACATGCGGTTTATCAGCGCTTTCTCGCTGAAAACAGCTGTTGTGAGCTGTAAAGCCAAAAACCATGAGCTGAAAGACACCAAACCATTCTGTAAAGCTGGGGGGAGCTGCAAAGTCATGTATAATGCTCTGTGGATTTATCACTGAGAACAACCCCTGACACATTACACACAGCCATTTGATCCATTGTCAATTTAAAAATATTGATTGGTGCAGCTTTAAAGCCTGCTAAAGTAATTTTGCAAGAATGTGCTGCTTTAATTACCTTATTTTCTCTGGACTGCTTTAAAGCAGGTGAATAACAATCTGCACAGAGTGGACACTAATACAGAGCTGCTTGCTAAGTGTTGAAGTATTTCTGTACTGTGCCCATCTCCCTCCCACTATCTCAGGTTCCAGTCCCTCATCCTGAACATCTCAGCGGATGATTTATGTAGCAGTGTTGCTCTGTGACCTCAAAATCCGCCCCATCCATACCGCACCTGTCACTGCGCCACTGCCTTCGTGCTTACTGAAAACCAAGCCATCCGTGCAAAATGGCAATTTTCCACCCACCTAGAGAATAAAAAAAGGATCCAATCCATTCAGAGGCAAAACTAGGAAAATTCTATGATATGTAGAGCAGGTGCGCGAGGGCTCAGTACTCCACTAACGAGGGAGCTGAACTGCACGCACCGCTGACCACAACATCTGTCGTTTGTAGGGATGCAGAATTTGGTTTTTACCTCTGCAACACAGTTTGCACAACGAGAGACAGCAGATGATAAAGTGCTTAGGATGGATACAGATGGAAGGGAGCAGGCCCTGGTTGAGCTGGGGGCACAGAGTTCCCATGCTGTGGCCCGGTAGCATATGAATAGCAAAGAGTTATGCATGTCTGTATGGGCCCAAGGTGAGGCCCCGGTCTGACCCATTTCACCATCCCAGGTGGAAACCCTAACGAGCTCATCAGGCCTAACGAAGCTTAACAAGCTTCTAATTGGCAGCGTTATGATGTCCCCGAAGGTCAGAGTGCAAGTTTCAGTGCCAGCAACGGAGCAGGCTGCCACTTCCTGCCAACAGCACGTCACGTGATCCACTAATGTCCCTCTGTGTAAACAAAGTCATGAAAGGACGAGAGGAACTTCTTACGTAAGCAAAAGCCAGAGTTTGTTAACCTATAGAGGAAAATTTAACAGAAAAGTTGACAGCTCTAGTTTGTCACTATAAACTAAATAAAGCTTAGCGTTGAGAAGCACAAGAAAGCAGTGACTTTGCTTTTTCTTGTAGATACACAGGGTAATGAAACTCAGTGAAGTACATCAAAGTATTTAAATATCAAAACTATGATTAAGTTCTCAGAGTGAATACTAAGTTTCCTCTCTTATTGTTCTTGATAATCAGCAGAAGCAAGTATTGAAATGGGTTTTACTTCAATCTTTGGTCTGTTTGGAAACTGCTTTAATGCTGAGGGCAGGTTACAACTGGAGAAAGAAAGAACAGTGAAGAGGAGGTTCTGACTACTCCAGACACTTAAGTGGTGAAATGCTGCCACCTACTGGTCATCAAGAAAAGGTATAGCTTGATGAAGATGGCTTTGTCAATAAAAAACCTGTCCCAAAAAGTCTACTTATACATAATCATAGCATTTTAATAATTGTTAAAACATGCTTTTTTAATGATCAAGCTACTCATCCACACTCTTATCAACCAACACATTTTAATTCCAAATAAATCACGTCACACAAATGTAGATCTGTGGTCAAAATCCTTTATCAGTTCTGTAGACAAAGAGTGATCTATGTACACGACGTTTGTATTTGCACTAATAATGTAACTGTAAGATGATTTATAGAAAGATGGAGGGACTCCGATTCAACAATGACAAAATGAAACCAAAAAAAAGTTGGATTAGAGTGTACTTACAGAACAAAGAATGAACAGTAAAACATATTTGCAGAGTACAGACGTGTTCATTTTAAATGATCTTAGAAGCCTTACAAGATTTATAGGACAACTAAAATCCAGACTCTACAAGTCCGTCTGGCCAACAGGAATAAAAGATTGGAATAGCACTAAAATGAGACAGACATTAGGCAGAATTCCCCCAGGGATTAAGCCTAATGCTATGAAAGCAGCAGAAAATACCCACATAAAAATGAAAGATGAAGTAAGTAAGGCAGTTAACTAGACTATCTTACAAAAGTATATGAGGAAAACAGAAATAGTAAAATAACTTTCATTCACTTTCATTAACTGAATGAATTCCAGTGAATGAATTAGGTCAAAAGAAAACATCCAGTAAAACAAAATACTGACAAAACATGGTTTTCTGAAGAACCTGTGTATCTTTTAAAATCTCACCTATCAGTACAAAAAAAAACATCATCGCAGTCAGGTCATTCTGATATCCCACACAGGGTTGTGAGACGACTCTGTCAAGAAGAAGAAGAAGAAAACAAAAAAAATGAGAATAAAAGCATGTGCAAATATTTCAAAACATTACACTAAATCTTGTAGCAAACCAGTGATACTACAGAAATGTTCTTGGACAGAAGTGATTGATGTACCTTCAGCAGCCGAATGCTCTTCAGAGCAGTTTCATCCAGGAGTGACAGGTCCACTGAGTCCATCTGACTGGCCAATAGCTGAACGCTCTGGATCAACATATAACAACACATTAGGATGGTAAATTCAACTCAATCAGCATAATCCAAAGTCTTGTTGGAATATAATAAATAAAATTGTATATTGTGGAAGATAAATACAGGCCTCACACAGAGAAGTATTTAAAGATCCCCAGTATTATCATGTTGTAGAGCATTGTCAAAATTTGTAATGAGGATAAAGTGAAGTGTAAAGTAAAACATAGTCTCAATTTCTTAATATCTGTCCTTTGCAGACATTCCTGGTTAAAACTATTTATTACTTGAATAAAATACTGTCCTGTAGGATCCTGAAGTCTGAGTCCAGCTAACCGCACACTCACCTCTCCGTTGCCGATGGGGACGTTGATGACAATGTCCTCATTTCCTGCTGCAATGGGAGAGCCGTTGACTGAAATGCTGTAGACCCTCTCTTTGTGGCGGGGAACTCTCACAGCGGGGGTCTTAGGAAGCCTGAGGAAATAAAGCACGTATGGTGGGTATTGTGAACGCCTCGCTGTGGTTAATGCCTCCGATTTAGAAAAGAAAAAGACAAGATCAAAGAGAGTAAATTGCTCGAGATGACCCATTAGAGAGGCATTTCAAATGAAGCAGCCAGCTATGATAACAACTCTTCAGTGCCCACATAATGAAGAACGCTCGGATAAAAGACGCTAGATCCACTTGAAGATTTATAAAAGCAAAAGTGCTCTGAAGATCAACCTGAGGTTTTTTGTAATAATTCTGGCATTTATTTACCCATTGTGCCTTTATTACATAACCGTACCCTGCTGTGCTGTACAGGAATTTCTGTGCTAATTTCATTGATGCAAATAGCTAAATAAAAAATGCTTCATCAGTTTACAGAGAATGAAAAATCCTTTGTTGCAGACACAGTGAGAATAGTAATTGGTTACAGCTGCCCCACACCAGTTTCTAAGCTAAAATACATATTTCTGGCTTACCTTGGGTCGAAGCGTGGGGTGACAAGGGGGGTAGAGCCCATCATCAAAGAAGAATCCAGCATACTCCTGGCAGGAGTGACCAATGGCTTCCTGGTCGATCTGATTCCAGACAGAGGGATGTTAGTATGATGCAACTGGGGTACTGAAAGGAAGAAAGGGGTCAAAAAGAAGGAAGAAGAAAGAGGTCTTACCGTCTGATGGAGGTGTTCTGCTTGCTGACTGACAGCGCCTTTGCCCTTTTTGATGTAGTCGGAGGTTTTCTTGTTGCTTTTCCCTGAATTAGGAACAGGCCGTTAAAGAGCGTAAAGTGGACTGCACATAAATGACATTCCACAGCAATCGTCCACTCCTTATATTTATGAGATGCTCTCAAACACTCAGCTGTGTTTTGTCCCTCTTGTGCATTCTTGAATGAAAATCAGCCACTACCTTCCTCGTCGTGCTCGGGGTGTTTTCATCCTCTGAACTGGATTTGGCTCCACCTTTTTTCTTTGACGCTGAGTTGGACACAAAATAAACGGGATTATATCCACTTCGTTGAAAGATATTGGACATGTTCCATCCCATTTAAAGATGCAAAGTGGTCTATGTTATTAGACTTTGTTTAAGGATAATTCAAAAGAAAAACAGAAAAACTACTTCTAACATACTTTTCTTGACTGATTTCAGAAGGACTGTGTGGTCCTCAGCCACAACGCTATCAACAATAGCAGCTTCCTCTTCTCTCTGTTAACAGACAGACATGAATCATTGTTTAATACAGCACAGGATGTGCCTGCACAAACCAAAGACTTCCTGAAACTTGCGATACACTGAATCATGACGCATGATATGAGATAGAAAGATAATCAACTCACCTTTGTATTATCCACTTCTGGGGACTTTGGTTTCTCAGACTCTACAGAGAGATGGGTAAATACTTTTAATTTTATGATGATTAAAAGGATAAAACAATATATGTAGCTGTCACGTATCCCTTTATACGCAACGCCTGTTACAAGTAACGTGGCAAGTGTGCCTATTTTTTGTAACTACATCATGAAACTCACTCGAAACAGAAATATACAAATGTTTTGCCCATTAAAAGATCCAGATCTGCAGTTATGCTTGTATGAGAGCAGCATAGAATGCTAAAGAAACCTCTGTAGCACAATTGCAATATTTCTTTAAACCGTGTTCATGGAATTGGGATTTGTGTTTCATGACAATGTGAGAGGGTTTGTGTTAACTTACTGCAATGTTCCAGCCAGGTTGTTTGCCTGACAGCCTTGGGGAGCTTGATAAGAGCCATGTTGTAGCTGTTGTCAACATCTTTCAGCAGCTGGTTGATCTTCTCTTTCAGCTGTCCAACTCTGGTCTTCACTGTGAAAACATAAGTGTTGTTATTGTCGTGTTTTAGATAACACCAACCAGCAGTTTATCAAGTAGTTCAAATTGACTCCACGATTTAAACAAGTGCCATACTCCATCCATTTCTTAATGATGGACTTAACTGAACTCCGTGGGATGTCCAGTGAGTTAGAAGTCTTTTTGTAGCCATCTCCTGACTTGTACTTTTCAATGATCTTTTCTCTGAGTTGCTTGGAGAGTTCTTTTTTTTCTTCATGTTGCAATTGTAGTAGGAATACTGATGAACCAGAGACTGGACCTCCCAGACACAGGTGTTTTTTTATACTACAATCCCTTTACACACACCAGCTGAACTCAGGTGATTCTCCATTTCACTAATTGTGACACTGCTGGCATCAACTAGCTGGACTTCTGTTGAATTAGGTCAGTCACTTTAAAGGGGAGTGTATATTTATGCAATCATCTTCTTTACCATATATATTTTTAATTAATTTACATTAGTTTGTAAAAATCCGTTTTCACTTTGATATTAATATATTTTTGCAAATTCTTGTCATAAAAGCCAAATTATATTGACCATGATTTATAAAAGAAACAAAAAGGGGTGAATACTTTTTATAAGCATTGTATATTAGCTTGATAAATAAAATCACCCAGGGCAACACTATCAGCCAATTTCGACCAATTACAGATATGTTAGTATGAGCATATACGTTGACCAATAGGTTACAAGAAATTGCAGTCTAGAAAGGTCAAACATATGTTATAGAGAGAGTATAACCATTACAGTGTGTCAGCCATAGAGCACTGTAGTGTCTATTGTTCCACTCTCAAATGTCAACATCTGTGTCACCCTCTCTAATGCCATCAAAGGGCTATACATAATTCAGGGCCCCCTTAAAAAAAAATAGCACACCCAAACAACATACACAGCAAGCCTGCCTGGGGCTGGCGGTCAATGCACATTCCCAAATAAGGCACATTTAAAAACAAACCATGTATATAACGTTAGTCTATTCCACAGAGCACTGCTTTACAAACCCTCGCTGTCGAAGTCCTCCAGGAAAGCTTCGAGCTTGGCCGTCTTGGGGTTGTTTTTCCGTTGTTTGGTGGTCCTTTTCCTGGGGGCCATGTCTGCACGTTTGACAATACAACACACTTATATCATTAACTTAAACTGTGTAGCGTTGGGATGTGAATACGTTTAGCGTTTTTTAAAAAAAGAAACCGCCGACATGTGGTTGGCTGTTTAAGCCAACGTCACAGGTTCTGCTAAGGTAACATGCTAACATTAGCTCGCCCCGCAATTTGTCTGACATGCTTTATTGTCAGTTGTGTTCACGACGCACACACACTTAATAAAACACTAGAAATAATACGTGTCTGCCGTGGTGATGTTTATTTTATTTAGAGGGAATTACCTGGTTTTGTTTTCTTCCTCGGACGCTCGGACTCGCTCTTCCCTCACAAAGCCGTTTTCAAATCTGCCCGCGGGGAGGGGCCACACGCACAGTCAGCCAATTATAACGCGTGTTTGCCCCTGCGTCACGACCAAATGGTGCTCGGCCAATCACAGCACAAAACGTCAGTGTTTACATCAGGAGAACGGAAGTGGGTTTCAGGCAACATGGTAGAAATGTGGTGTTAACAGCGGTTATAGTTGCGACAGGTTGAAGGGCTACAGGGCGCCTTTTAAAGCAGCCTGTTGCTCCAAAACGGACTAAACATTATTTTTTTTTAATTGCTCACACACGACTTTGATTTTACGGTAAACTGATGTCTAAAAATCCGCGGCTGAAATGTCCAAACCTGCACTACTTTCACTCCATCAAGCGCTGAGGAAAAGCTTCCAGAGTCTTGAAAATAACCAGAAAATATGGAGCAGTGTGTTGGCCGACTGCAGCCCTCTGATGGTGTCTCTCGGGAATTTGGCCGAGCAGTCGAGAGCTCTTTCCAACGTCCAAATCTCCAACACACCCCTCAGAGACTTTCCTGACCTGGAGGAAGGGCTGCGATTCAAGCTCTTACAGGCCACGGATACAGTGCTGGTCAAACTCAACGAGAAGATGTAAGTGACAGTCACGAATAAGACTGTTAGAGATGATGTACTTACCTCTCTGAGGGTTCACAATCTTTGTATGAGATGTACAATATCACAGTCGCAATGTGACTTCTGTTATTAGAATTAGTATTATAACAGCATTCTCCAGAAAAACATTACTCCTATGTGTTTAGTGGGATAAGTTGATTAGACATTTATTTAGGAATATGCTCAATATCAGCTAAAATAATAAAGGGTTTATAACTAGAGTTTGACACAGGGCAGCTGTGCTATCTGTTCATCCATCCATCCCTCTATCCCTCAGGTCTTCTCTACAGTCTGTCAGAGATTCCATCAGTAACCAGGTCTCTGCAGTCCTCCAGCTCTACGAGCAGAACACAGACAGTCTGGATCTGCTCACTGTGACAGAGCGCTCGGCCACCGCCCCGTCTCTCTCTGACATGCTGGAGTGGCTGCAGGATGCTGAGCGTCACTATCGACAACAGTATCCTTCCTGTTTCGTGGTTGCATTGGGTTGGGTTTGCATTCTGTTCAGGTTTTGTTTTTTTTTCCCCCCTCAACTCATGTGTTCAGATTTCTGAGGAGGAAGACTCTGCTGCAAACACTGAGAGCAGATGATCTCTCCCTTTTAGAGGCTGCTCCCAAAAGATGGAAATCCTTGGAGTCTCCTAATGCAGAAGACCGCATCACAGGTAAAGTGTTTATTAATGCTGATAACTAAATGTAATGTTGCTTTGTTCAAATAAACAGTAATTAATCATACATGCCAGGTTCATTCTTGTGAGATATAAAGAGTTTGAAACAGTGTCATACTTTTACAAACACTGGCAGTTTTGACTCATACTATAGATAATAGGCCAAACTGAGTCACGTATCTTTTGTGGAACAGTTCTACCAGCAATATCTGTTTTGTTGTCCAAATTTATTTAAAAAAAAAGCAAATATCATCTTTTGATGTTTGAAATATTATATCATGACTTTAAACAAAAAAGACCTTTTTCGTGACCCTGTGCATCGTCTTTTCCAATATTCTTTTTGTATTACTTAAAATGACTGGTAAAGGGACCTGGCTCCAGAGCCAGTATTCAAATTATTTTAGGAAACTCTTCACATACCCATATAACATAATTTTTTAAAATACCTTGTGTTTTAGTACAAACTGAGCAGAGAAAAATGCTCGGCCAGATCTGTGTGCATGTAAAATACATGGTGCTAAAGATTTGTGGGTGAACTAATTACTTCTCTGTTGCCTTTCAGATACACTTTGCAAAGTGTCCTTCTTTATTGAGTCGCAATGAAGAGAGTAAAAGCAACATAAATGGAAGTCTGACCAGCTTGTGAATCCGACATTCTCCACATTTCTATGAAGAGGCTAGAAAAGAAGAAGGAAATATGAGCGAACATACATATACGTATACCTCAGATGGATGCATTTCCTGATGTTGGCAAAGGACTGGAATTTGGTTTTGTCGTAAAAATGTCCAAGACATGTTCTTGGATGGGAAGTGTGTGCATGTACCGGACATTATATGGTAATTCAAGATGAAGAGGAACTTTTATCAGGAGAAAAAAAGGACCTGAAATTACTCTGACATTGTTGTCTGTGATGGTCACAATGGCCCAAACCACATGTATTTTTAAAAGCCGCCAGCAGAGACAAGGATGAAGACTTGCAAAACACTGTTTGTGAAGCACGCTTTAACAAACTTATTTTATTTCAAACTTTTGATGTAGGCACACTCGAGGTAATGATATTGTCAGAGAATAACTGTTTCAGAAATCACTGCAATCATAAACACGGGCCATCATAAAAGCCGTCATAACAGTCATACTTTTGTGTGAATGCTGTTGATTTGACAATATAGGCAATGGGCTTTCTTCAGGCACTACTATAAATCACAGTGCAGTAAAAGTCAAATTTCAAACAAACGTTCTTAAGTACTGCATACAAGTTTAACATTACAAAGAGATATACAAAATAAGCAAAATATACGTTGAATATATTAATAAATATAGAGATTTCAATTTATAGCTTAAAATTCACAGACTTAAAACTTGAGACAGGTTAAATCTAGGAAAGAACCAGAGTTTGTATCAGCATCCACTCCTTTACTTCCTCCCTCTCCGCCTGCTGGTGTTCCTTCTTCTTATTCCTATACATACTCCTTTAATGGTACACTGTTGGATGTGATAGGCTTTGGGGGATCTGGTGCTGAAGCAGGTGAATTAGCAAAGCTCCGGCCTATGTAGCCCCTGCGGTACCTGCCGCCCCTCTCCATGAGGGGGCAGGTGCTGCTCAGCACAGCTCCACTGATCATAAGAATAACCGCAGAAGCCCAGCCCAGATAAATAGCCTGACCCAGCTCTCTTTTGTGCATCAAGGGCACGTTGGGGTTGTAGAAATCCTGGACGACTGTGTTAGCAGTCCAGGAAACTGGAATCAGCACGCACAGGCCGGTCAGAATGAACAGAACCCCACCTGAGAGGGCAATGCCCGCCTTGGCCCGGCGGTCGTCCCCGGCGCAGGTGGTGCACTTCATGCCGCAGCAGGACACGGTGCAGGAGAGCCAGCCCATGAAGATGGCCAGACACATGAGAGCACGAGCTGCCTGGATGTCTGGAGGCAGGGCCAGCATTGAGTCGTACGTCTTACACTGCATGTGACCAGTGGTCTGGTAGATACAGTTCATCCAGATGCCTTCCCACTTGATCTCTGAGGTCAGAATGTTGCTGCCAATGAAGGCCGAGACCTTCCACTGAGGCAAGGCCGTGACAGCGATCGCCATGATCCAGCCAGTCACCGCGCAGGTGAAGCTGATCAGCTGCATGCCAGTGTTCACCATGATGACCTCCTTTGTGTGGTCCGTCTTTGTCTACCACAGTCGTCTCTTTAGTGAGATCTTATTTTCTTGTTTATCCTTCTTTATGGTCGTTTAAAGTCTATTCCTTTTCTTTCCCACTTCCTGTCTGGCTTGGTCAAGCTTCCTATGGTCTTTGCCCCAGTGTCACTTTGTCAGCAGCCATTTTCTTCTCTTTTCCTTTTCCTCCTCAACATCTGCTCTCCGTTTTCACTTCCACGTGTCCTCAATTCACAACTTTATCCAGAAGTAATCACTCGCTTTCTCTCGACAGTCATCAACGTTTCCAGAAGGATCAGAGGCTCGCACACTTTCTCCTCCTTTTCATTCCTGAGTTTGAGTCAATGCATTATTGAGTAGCCGATAGCGGTGCAGCCACCTGTGGCAGCCTGCAGAAGCTGGATCAATAAGGCTTCACGGTCCAGGCCCTGTGGAAGAAATGGATCCCAGCCAGGATTTTTTTCCCTTTTAAATATATTGTGGAAGTGGTTCCTTGGCTTCAGCTCTGGTTCAAACCCAGGGGGCCGATTGTTGAGCTGCAGTGTGTTTCAGTGTCACACTCCTGTTTTGGTGTAGCCTTACCTAGATGGATCAGACTGATATAACCCGATACTTGGATTCAAGGCCACTGGTGCTGCTATGAGTGTATCCTGTCACAGCAAGGCTGAAATAGTGGCGCTTGATTACACAGAGTAAAAATCGTCGTAGCTTTTTACCTCTTAGTTGACAACAAACATCCTGTAGAGAGGAACAATCAGCTGTTTATGAGTCAGTAAAAATAGGTTATTCCAGTTAGTTATTTAAGCAGGTTCTTTCCCAGAATCCAGACAAGCTTTTAAATCTGTTTCTATTTAAAAAAAAAAAAGCACAGGTTTCCAGAGGAAAACAGCCAGCAGGACTCTTCATCAGACACTGCTGCTGTTGCCAGCTGAAGTGTCTCCTTGTTGACAATAAACGGCGCCGAGGTCCAAGCCTTGACGAGGCCACTTCAGCTGCTGCTCGGCTTCACCCTCCCCCCAATCGCTTCCTTTGGTAGCAACGCAGCCCAAATGGGTCAATTCAGTTCCAGCAAGGGTATAAATAACAAATCAGGGCCGCATGGTCAGACTTCTGAGTAAATACAGCATCATTTCACTCCCTCCCATCTTCGGTACCGTGTTGACAGACAAACCTGCGAGAGCAACACTGAACCCCAGGAAAAAAAAAACCCAGCGATGCACAAGGGAGGGAGAGGGCAAAAGAGGATGAGACAACAAAAGGTGGGAGGGAGGGATGGACGAGGATGGAGAGCTGTCTGTAGGTGGATCAGTTAACACAAAGACAACATGGGAGGGGGGCCTCTACAATGAGGATTACACACTTTGTGTTGCTTCATACCACACAAACTGGCATGTATTTTAAAGGAGCTTTCACAAAAATTAGCTTTCACTTGCCCTTTTTGTCTGCAATGAAAAGGAGAAACTGCTTCACAAAAGGATTTCTCTAACAACAACTGAGGTTGAAATGTTGAAAAGCCACAGGAGAAATACACAGGTTAAAAAAAGAAAAAAAAGTCACATGTATTGATTGTAAGCACTGTCATCTAGACAAAGGAAATTACCATACCCCTGAATTCTTACATTTTTTTGTTCAATGTCATTTTAATTAAATTTCACAAAACTGTGGCTGAAACATTAAAAGGCTGAAAATTGCAGGCCTGTATCAGGTGATATATCATGGTTATTAGCAATATTTTGTTAAATAAACAGCTAGGAGTAAAAAAAAAAAAAAAAAAAAGAGACCCTGAATGTAACAGAAGGATCTGACAGCACCTCTTTGTTTTCATATTCAGAAATGCCCCTTCTACCCAAGACCGCTCTCGCTCCATCTGCATTACACTGAACCTTGGTGTGCCATTGAGTCGATGAATTAAATATCGGGGCATCAAGATCTGTGGTTCAGGTTTCCTTTCTTCTGTAGCCTCCGATCTCCTTGGTAACGGTGGTCATGACAACCGGCCAGGACACAGGAAACAGGAGAGGGAATGATACACAAAGGGAAGCAGAGGAAGGTGACACATACCAATGATGGCTGTCCAGTGTGAGTGAATAAACACAGCTGTAGGTGTTTTCCTATAGCAGTCCAATACAGCGTGGTACTGAAGTTACACCAGTTAATGCCACGTAGCCTTACATTCATTGTAATAAAGAGATATGGTTTTAATTTAACAATGTATATTTTCATGATGCTATCTCTGAATTCCCTTGTCCCAAAGAGGTCATACCAGCTGACTCCATGACCTCTTTTACCTGAGGCACCAAGAGGGGAGGCCCTACCAACACAATAGTTGCAGCAGTGTATCCAAAGTTACTGGAGAGAAATTCTTTTTTAAATGTTTTTGTAAATGATAACTGCAGCAAGACTTGAATGTTACATTTAAATCAAATAATAAACATTTAGTAACACATTTATGGACAAATGACATAAAATAACCATCTTTAATAGATTTAATTCATTAATACCTCTACAAAAGTTCATCAGCTAAATGTTCTCGAAATCAGTATACTACTGATCATTAATAAAACTGTTTAAACATGACAGAGCTGTCAAGAAAATGAAATTTTTTTGCAGTTTGCTCTTGTATTTGACTATTATAGTATAGTACATAATGTTGTGTGAATAACTCATTTTACATTTTTCAGCCTGAAACGTGTGTGTGTGTGCGCGTGTGTGTAAGAACAATCTAATACAAAGAAAAACGTAAGAGGATCATTTGTGAATGCTTGCCCGACTTATGTGACTGAGAACGCCTTAAAAGACATTTAATATTAAAAAAGGCACAGACAAAAACACCTTCCTTCCTTGTTTTGCCTGTGTACCTGCCAGGACGTTAAATGGTGCCAAACAAATATACAATATTTAGAGCTGCTACACAGGTTTACCAGTTGCAGTAATTCATGTTTTAGTGTTTTAGATGTCTAGGTTAATCCCTGAGCTACTTTGACAAACTGTTTGGTGTTTTAGTGCATTCGTATGAAAGCCCATAGACCCTCAGGTTCATATACGATCTCAGGGTCTAAAGATTAAAGTAACTTTGTATGAAATATGAGATAGTGACATGGACTTAAGTTCAGTATGGCTGCATCTACACTTTGTTAACATGGTTAGAACACAGGTCTGTAAGAAAATAACTTGAAAAATGTCATCAGCGAGGTGCTTTGATATCTTCGTGCCTCACTCAACTGTTCTTAAATGACCATCAAGGTGAGGAATTGGACAGATCATTAATGTTTTACTCTTCTCAGTAATGAAGTGATCCCATTTACCTTGGTAAAGAATGCCATCTAGTGACCATATACATGCACATAGAGGCTTTGGTTTTAATCTGTTGTTAATTCAACTAGCTGTACTTTTCAATAGAATACCAAAACATCTGTCATCAATGATGAAAACACATCAGCTATGTTATAGGCATAAAATACCAATTTATTACTTTGCACATTAACACAAGAATTCCCTGCAGGCTAAAAAAAAAAAAAAATGTATTTGAACATGTCACATAATAGCAATAACAGCGAGTGAATGGCCCTGTGCTGAGGGCGGGGCTACAACAGGCCTCGCCCTCTCACAACTGGTCAGAAAAGGGCTCCGTTCATTCACAGAATCGGAACGTTCCATTCACTGATCGGAATGTTCCAATCACTGAATTGGAATGTTCCAATTCTATGATTCTTATTGCTATTAAACAATCACACACAGCTTCAGAGACCACTAGCAGGAAAAAAAAAGAAAAGAAACAGAGCAGAGCTATAACAACCCCCCAAAAAAGGAACCGAAAAGGGAAAATAAAATAAAATTAAAATACACGATACACAATGTCAAATTACAAATCCGTTAAGATATAACAATATATCAAAGTGAGAGGAATTTAAAAATAATTCATGCTCTCTTTCTATCGGGGGCACAGAAAGAATTATGGATCTTTTTTTAAAAAGGTTAAAAAGAGGTAATCCTGCTCCGCTGATGCCATGGGGACCCCTTCACAAAGAGGAAGTGCATTTGTGAGGGGTCAGCAGAGTTGCCATGGAGACAGGAGAGCCCCCACCAAGAGGCGTGGCCACAGGTACAAACCAGGAACGAGGAGACAAAATGGATGCTCGCTATAGCAACCTGGCCAAGAGGAGAGGGGTTAGGTCTTTAACGGGTCCACATTTGAAGAAAGTACCTCGTTTGAATTTGAACACAACGCAAAGAGCTGGACCCCCTCGCCTCAAAAAAGTGTACCTCCCAAAATTACTGACATTTGTGTAGGAATCTTTAAAATGCGTCTTAGAGAGACTGGACAAATATTGCTAGCCTAAAACAGTCCCACTAAATTGATAACATTTACCCCCAAAAAAAAAAAAAAAAAAAAAAAAAGCGATTAGATTTTTTTCTTTCTCATAATAAATATGATTCCAAAAAGGTTTTTTCTTTTTTTCTTTTTTAAAAGGACAATACTCTGGCATGCAGGCGAGCAAAGTCTACATTTTGTTACTTTAAAAAGGAAATTGTCTAAAGCCTACATAACTATTCCACCAAATGCACATTCCCACTGATTGATACAAGCAAATAAAATAAACTAAAAAAAATAAAAATAAAAAGTACAGAGACACAATTGCGAGAGTAGACCAACAACCACAATGAGTAGAATTATAGCTTTGTTTTTCCACATTTGAAAACTAGAACTGGGTTAATATTGCTTTGCAATGTCATGTTACAAACGGAGTGATCATTTATTTCGACTGGAGTTTAATGATCAAATATTGTGAAGGATATAAAACATCAAATCACTGCCCATTAGAGATGCCAGATGAATACTCAATCACAGCCCACTTGGCTTGGTAAAACTAGTGCACGTTTTAAAAATTGATCTGCCCCCTTTAAACAAAGAGTAAAACTTATTGCATGCAATGCCTGGACAACATCCTCCCAATACCCCCTCCCCCGCCCCCCCGAGCCCTCCT